CTAATTGATATTTATAGAAAAAAAAACTAAAGAAAATTGAAAGCGGTAAATGTCCGTAAATAGCTCAAAAAGAGTCAAAATATTTTCAAAATTGTATGGTGTATAGGAAATGCTAATTTAAACATTCAGTGAAATTTTCATGTATCTATAGTTATTCGTTTTTGAATTACAACAAAATAAGGAAATCGCTACATGAGAAATCGAGTGAATATCCAATGTTGTAAAAATTTGAATTTCAAACGCTCATAAAAATTGAATTTGACTTTCTTATGAACATTTTTTTTTTGAAAAAGGTAGATAATATTATAATAAATCTTTTATTACATTTTAAAATGTTAGATTTAAAAAAAAAAATTTTACGAATTCCAAACTCAAAATAATTTGCTAATTTTCGTGATCTTTCCATATTTTGTCAATTTTAGATTCTGAGCGGAGCGAGGAAGCTAGTGGTTTTACAATGGTTTTTATTTATTTTTTTTTTATATCCTGTATACAAAATTTCTACCAGAAGGAGTGCTTCGATTTCAATATATAGTATCTTATCTTTTAGCAAATTGGATCAAGATGGTACTTTATAGAGGTCATTTTTTGATTTTAACAATAGTTATTTAATGCCACTGTAAAAACCACCAAAAAATTACGAAAAAACTCTAAAATATATATTTTAATTTCTAACGCTTTGTTTATTACCATAGAAACGTATATAAAATAATAATATTATAATATTAATTCAACTTACATGATATAATAATTAATGACAATATACAGGGTGTAACAGAAAGATAATATGACAAATCGATTTTATTTTTGGTTAAACTCTAAAACAAATAAACGTATATACATGAAATTTTCACTGGTAGTTTATATTTGCATTTTCTATACATGATAAAATTTTCAAAACATTTTGATTTGTTTTGAACTGTTTAGGAACATTTCCAGTATATGTATATGCCATATCTTTCTGTTACACCCTGTATAATATCTAGGCTGACAAACCGTTTCCGCTCAGAATCGTTTTTCTTATACAATGATAAAATATCATTGAATTCAAGTTTAATACAATAGATTATACATTGACGCACTTGTAATCTACTGTATAGCAGAGCGACATCTACTTAGTACTTACCCGCTTGTTTTTGAACTTTAAATGCTTATAAAAAAAAACTGTGACAAAAGATTTTTAATATTTTCATTATCCTTTGAAAAAAAATACTAGGAGCCTTCTATTAAATTTTCAAGCTTTTTTAACCAACAAATAAAATTGTATTGATATTTTTAGTTACTCCAAAAACCAAATTTGATTTTGCTTAAAAATTCCCGTTTTTCCTTAATTTTTCTTTTGTTTTTCTTAGCACTTTTGAAAATTACTGGGAATTTTAAATTTTGACCTCCCCAATGCAAAAATGATATTCACTTTCCAATCGAACAAGATACCTTTAGTAAAAAACTTATTAGGACCTTTACGTAATTGAATATAACCTAAAACTTTACGTTCTTATAAAGTAAAAAAAGCTACTCTCATAAAAACTAATTAAAATAAAATCAAACAATTAATAATTATAATAAATATAAAAATTACTACCTATGTAATTTAAATTATACAATTAATTCTAAATTAAATAAATGTAATAGATTGAATACATGTATATATATTATATGTATTATATATAATACTATTATATGTAAGTCTATAGTATACTTAGATATAATACATATATTATATGTATTATGACGTATACTACTATATATATTAATAAATCCTCTATATACTCTTTGTTCTTTGTTTTTTTTTTTTTAAAGGAGGGCTATGCCTCCCTCTTTAGACAACTACAAATGTCTTGCCTCCCTAAAACATATTTCATACATATATATACATACACTTTATAATTTATATATTATATATCTTCTATATATATTTTGTACCCTGTGGAATAATATAATTATGTTATGTTATATTATGTTTATGATATTTACGAATTTACAATAATACTATAGTAATAATCGCCGTGAAATTCGCTAAACCAAAATACCCGTATAGCCGCTATCATTAAAAGTTAATATAAATAGACGGTTTTGCGGTTTTACGGATTGGGCGGTCTTGAAAAAAATCGTCAGCCGACCGCGAATATTTCAATCGCGGATTAATTCGAGGCGAACTCGTATAGCCTGCGGCCGATTTATTTATATTAATCATATAGATTTTCGATGACAGCGGAATTCGCCGCGAGTATCGCCATGTATACCCGCAGACTATTAGTACCTACTATTGTCTATTATTTTACTATTATGATTTGGCACTGTAGTCTGTATTGCCATAGATTAAATATACTAGTATACTAGTATATTTAATCAATGGTATTGCATACTATATATTTTTTAATAACTATGCCTATGATTAATTTATTTTTAAAGCAAGATGCAAGAACATAAAATCTAAAAATATTTGCAGCATAATAAAGCAAAAAAAATATTTAAATAGACAATTTTCAATTTTAGATTTTGGTTTCAGAGGCCCCTTAGAGGTGGAGGCCCGTGTGCATTGCACACCTTGCAAACCCAGTAGTTGCGGAACTGTACACACTGCATTTGAAGAAGATACTGGTATAGAGTACAATAGTAATTATTAAAACTATATGTACCTATATTTAACTAGGTTACCGTATTGGTAACGACATACCTAATGATTATTTTATAAGCAATGAACCAAAAGATAATTTGACTTCGAATGGAAAATACATTGATGGCTTTTAAATGGCATTGATTCTTCATCAAATATAAATTAAGAGTAAAAAAGCGGATAAGTGGGTGTCACGCTGCTGTACAGTAGCCAGTAGGTTACAGTTTGTCACTGTAATGGATGGTGTTAGATTTTAATTCAATGATATAATATCATTGTACGTAAAACGATTCTGAGCGGAGGCGGGTTGTTAGCCTAGGATATTATTTTATATTATATTTATATTGTTATTATTAATACGGTAGTCGGTAAGTATTATTTGCATATATAATCATTGTTCAATATTTGTATATATACTATACATATATAAAAATATACTCGAGAAGTTTCAAGTAGGTTAGGTTAACCTACCCACGAATATAATATATTTAAATTACAACAAAATAACTAAAATCGTTATTCTTGGACCTTGGTTATGTACAGTGGCCGGTGCTTACCACGTAGTGTGACTGATTGCAGCCACCGCGCCACGCAAAACAACCATTTTTGTTTATATATATTTTTTAGCAAACAGTTTAACGGGTTTAAAGAACACTCAAAAGATTTATGTTGCTCATATCAAAATCTAATTTTAAGACAAAATGTCGTTTTTTGGTATTTTGAATATCTGCTCTATAAAAGAAAGGTAGAACTGTTCAAAAATGTTTGAAGAAATGCAAACAATTAGTATCGCCATGAAGAATTAATATCAGCGAATGTAGTTTTTATTAACGAGTAGATAGGTACTACTCAGTAGGTATCTGATTTATCATTGCCCACTGGCGGTCACAATATATTCTGTCAACCTTTTCTTTTTACTATTCTCTATTTCTCTGTAAATACTTTTTTAAGAAAAGTTTCGTCAAGTAGCATAGTGCCACTTAAGATCGATTATCGAGTTTGTTAGTGTAGCTTAGAAAGGTAAATTTTTGATTTTTGTTTAGCTACGTGCTTAAGAAAAAGATAACAATTAAAACCACCGTTGAGAAGTATCGAAAAAATATTTATTTATTAATTATTTATCATGCGCCAAAGTGCTGATGAAATCAAAAAGGATTTTTTATCGGGGTTTTTTTGTGAATTGATTTTTTTAATATTTTAATAGAAATGTTCTATAATGTATAACTACATATAATATTATAATCAATAACATTCCTCCAGAATAACTTCCAATCGGAAATATAATAAAGATTCAAATCTGTTTACAAATTTAAATTTTTGTGCTTTAAGCTATTTTAAAATTTTAATATTAATAGGACGAGACATGATTTCTTGCATATTATTCAATTTTCAACCATTTTATACACATATACAAAACATACACGTTATTACCTTGATATTTATTTTTATATAGATGAATATGGTTCATGAATTTTGACGGAATATGCTTATAAAATATTAATTTCACTAAATTTGACATTTATGATAATATAATATACATTAATAATTATTATGACTGCTGTGTTTGACTTTCTAAAATGACCAAATATTTTCAGACAGTGGACCGCTCTGAATAGTTTTTCGTGGAAATCCGAAATATGCTGTAGTTAGTGCAGCACAAACGTACAACTCTTTACACATTATGTTTGTTCATACCTATTGCAGTATTACCTACTTTAATATTATAACCATAATTTTGTTATAGTTATTAAAAGCATTTATTTGAAATTCAAACGATGTGTTTCTGTTAGTTCAAGGTATGCTCCTAATATCCGAATTCAGTATTCACAATACTCAGAAGTATCGACTTGTATATAGTTATAGGTACCTATAAGAATAATTCGTCAGATTTTTGTCGTCGAATACGTCATAATATTGTCACGAAAAAAATATTCAACATACTACCTAACTTATTTTGAAGTCATATAATATTATACTTTAAACATCGGATGCCGAATTAGAAGTAGGAACATACACTTACTGACTATTTTAGATACCTGTTATATAATATATAATATACTATAATATATATATACCTATATTATATTATATTATTATATACCTATATTTTTTAATTATTTTTGACGTATTTTACATTCTGAGAGTATTTGTAATGTAGGTAAATATTGATTTTATAATATCATAATTACTATAGTTTATAGGTAGGTACACGTCATCATAATCATTAATCAGTTTTAATCTTGTAACGAGCTTTAATTAATTCAGTTACTTTATTAATTTGTGTAG